GATCTTAAAAAAGGATTAAATGTGCAGAGACTTTATTGGATGCTGACATGCAGTTAATAGCACTTTTGCATGCAATGACTTCACACACTGTTACTGTGCAGTTTTAAATGTCATGTAAGTGTATAAATTCCATTCAAACATAACCTTTATTATGAGGGCATCAATAACAGAGAAATCTAATTAAAGAACAAGAGGCATGGTGGAAACATAACCTTTTTCATATTGAATTGGTAAAGAATTAATACAATTCAGTGAAGGATATTGTTTCAGAGGAGCGCTGACAAGCACAGAGAAAACCCTACCTTTCACTGCATGGTTTAGTGGAAGTGTCTTCTCTCTCTTCAGCAACCTATCCTCTCCCTCTGTATCCTGTGGCCGCATCAAAATACAGGAAAACAGCGGCAGGACCTTTGAAATCCCCGTTTCTTTCAGCTCAGTTCATCTACACTGGGACACTTGCCACCTTGCCACAGTCTATTACACCCAAGCCTGTGGCTGATGAATTACAGCTCTGTCAATCCCCCTGTCTAACAAATTGCCACTGTATGAGAAGGAACCCATTATCACTATCAGCATTACGGAACACCATGGACAATGTAATAGCAGACTATGTTTCCCTCGTTCAGTGCTTACCCCAGAAAACTAGGCCATGGTGTCCTTCAAACCATAATGAGAATTACTATGGAGAGGACTGTCAATCTACATAAGAGAAGAAATGAGGCTTGAAGGTTCAGAAAATTGGGGATAAGTACAGTAGCAGCACCAATTACTGCAAAAGGATTCATTTTTTTCTCCATACTCAGTCTGAAACAGCTAGAAATGACCCAGGCCATAGCTGTTGCCTAATTTTGGCAACATATTCTTATCTGTTTCCAGCTGTTGATTTTGGCTGGGAAGACTTGGAATGTGATAAAGTTCCATTTAGGTTCTGTCTCTCCCTAAACCATTAGGGAGAGACTAAGTCTAAGTTATGAACATGCCACATCACACTGCAGATGGATGATTAGGATAGCTCTCATCCTTTTCCGTTTCTTTTACTATATTCCTATAGAATCACTATAAATATAAATATCACTATGTATAAAAATAAGAATATTTTTTATCTTGTTCTTTGCATTTCCAAACATCACTTGTTTTTATTCTACTGGAAGATAGTACAAGCCACTTGATACGTACTGTTGACTGACAGTGAGAAGAAAGGTTCAGAAGGGACTTTTCTATTATAGGTAGCCTGTGGCAAACAGCAGAAATGTCACAGGTCTAAGCAAGAAAAATGGATTCAGAGATTCACACTGAGCTGACAAATACAATGAGGAGTTTGAAAGCAGACCTGGATGCCCCCAACTGGGTGTCTTTCACTGCTGTTGTCCCCTGCCTTTCAAATTGGCTCTCCAGCTTTATGTAGCAGCCATGCTAAGCTAGACCTCTCTTGATGTCAGGTATTTCACAGAGCTTCTGCTACACAATTGGGAAATTCTTTTGGATACACAACCTGGTTTCTGAATCCCAGTATATAGTTAGGGCTTGTGGGACTCAGTGTTATCATGTGGTTCTGAACAGGTCTGAAATCTGTGTCTTGTCCTTCCTACTGTCACTAATGCTGGAGGGGGGAGGCTTGTTTTTAACATGTTTATGGTACAATAATGTTCCTTATAAGTTGTGCACTAAACATAAACCAGAAATATCTATGGAAAACAGAAGATCTCCTGTAGCAGCAGGCATTGGCCATTGACTTGTGCCAGTTGTTTCAGGAGATAGCTTAAAGTTCTCTCAAATATGATGAAATAGAGATTATTTAGGGCCCTCATGCATGACGTCTAATCATTCTTCATTTAGTGCAACACACAAGAACTCGGTGATTCTGTATATATTGTAAGGTATTCTTCTTGAGCTTGCGAAGTTGGCCTCAATGGAACCTGTGGCTTTGACTACTGGCCACTATAAAGAGAAATCCTGGATGGATTTCAGTATTTTGCAGCCTTTTATTTCATTAATGTGTTTCACCATTTACATACTTCATCTATATTTGAAACAGTAACATTTTAATATCAAATATAGTCATTCTTATAGTGTTATAGGTACTATTACTTGCAGCACAGATCATAAGATAATTTTAATCTGGCTCTTCTAATGAATAGTCTATGAACAGAATCTTAAATGTGAGGGTCTGATTTTCAGAGAGATTTAGCACTTGGGGGAATTGCATTGACATCATTTGCATGTTATATACTTAGGCAGCTTGCAAAAGCTGCAATTCCAGCATTGCTTATTACAGTGCTATTTATTAACTATCTTTCTAGTTTGTTTCTGTACAAGAAAGTAAGTACATGACAAATATAGCACTGCTTGGAAACTGGATCAAGGTTGTCTTTTTCTATGTGGATTATGATAAATGTGGAGGTGATTGATTTTAGAGCGTATAGTGCTCCCATCAGTTCTCTGCATCTCTGCCTCAGTACAGGTGCACATCATCTTTTCAGGGCCCTAATCCTAGGATCACTCTACATTTGGTAACGTGGCTATGGTAAGGTATATCACTGATTAGCTTCAAACACTCTGTTCATATTTAATTATTGTTCTTGTAGTTTTCCTCCGGGCTTTGAGCTGTGGCAGATATTTAATGTAGGTAGAAAATGCCATTTTTCTTTTGCTAGAATTCTTCTGGGGAGATGCTGTCAGAGTGCTCCATCACATGTGATGGATCATCACTTACAGAGAATTATCTCTAATACAAAATTGAGTTTTTATCTTGAACTGTCATGTCTGAGAAGTCTTGGCTGTGACACAGGGGAGTGGAAGGACCTAGATTTAGTAGCTGATTGCTCTTCCAGGACTGATTCTATCCTATCTCTTATAACCAGTTCTGTCCTTAATCTTGTTACAGCTGCCACTTCCCCCTCCTGGGCTAACACTATAGTGACCAAATTTTCAGTCCGGAATCACATGTTGTCACAGTGCTGACATCACTAGCGCTCTTCACACATTCTGGTTCTTACTATTTGTGAGCTATTAACTGCTAAAACCATGTTGGAAAGAGTGGTGGAAAAATACTCAGCAAATCAACGCAACAATCTCCAAGCAAATAAACTTCAAATACTGATTGTGAATCAAGGCTTAAAAAAAACCCCAAAAGGTCGTGAAGAGTAAAGTGTATAGTTCTGTAAAACTGTGTGCCAATAAATGTAAGCACAAAATATTGTACCCTGGAGAATGATGTTCAGGAAATGCTGTTTCCAGTCCTGCTTGCTGTCTGCTCCCTGACACACGCATGGGACTCTCTGAAACACAGTGACAACCATTACTCCCCTGGGAAGCTCCCCACCCACCTCCACAATTACAGATTCCTGGTCTAAGACATGATCCTTATTTCTCCATCCAAAGAAATTGTCTTTTCCCAGTAATCCTGGCACAAGTCTCAGAACCAGTACAATATATAAAAAGATATTTTGTTACATATTCATACTTGAAAAATGTAATTATTATTTGGCTAAGGACACATCAAAATCGCAGTAGTTATCATCAGTTCTGGAATTCAGAACAGGGACAGCTGAATCCTAAGGCTTTTTCTAAGATTTCTGTGAGGGATTTTTTTTATCCATAAAATAATGTCTGAGAATAAAAGAAGTGCTTCATGCTGTGAGCCACAGCGTAAAGTCTATAGAGTATAACAAATTTTTCTTTTACTCCCATAATAGACAATAAAAATATTGGAACTCCCCAGGACCTGGGACCCCACACAGACATGATTAGTTTGTAATCAACTGATAGGATTTGTATTTTGTAGTTTGTAATCAACTGATAGGATTTCTATTTCAATACCCTCTTCACCAATCAGTAGCACATTTAAGAATGCCTGCTAAGTACATGCCATTGAAAAACTATGTAGGCATCAGTGCACTTTGTAAAATAGTATCTAGTGAAACCTAATGTACATGGCATTCACAGAGCGCTGCCTTCTCACGAAGCACTATTTATTTATATGTCAGTTTATTCACTCCTAGCCACCTTCTGCGGGGGTTATTTTTTTTCTGCCATTACACAGTATGTTTCTTCTGCTACTTCAAAAAGTGGTAGGTGTCACTTCCTCCAATTTATCGTTGGAGGAAGCTGAGGGCCAGAGAACAAAGCCCAGGCCTTTGAGTTCCTGCGCTCTGTTTCCTGGCCCCGCTGCTTTCTTCTCCCAGACGGTCACCAATGCACAGGCCAGCGCTGCATCCAGCCGAGAAGACTCTCTGCTCCTCCACATTCATCTCCATGGAAAACAGATTACTAATAAAACATCCAAGCTCATTCAGAAAGCTCTTCTACAGACTGCAGGTGGCTTAGCGAGGCTGAATTGCTCTTGACAAACAGGAGAGGTTCATGACAGATGAATCACTATTTGGTTGTGCTACGCCCACTCCAGCTCAAGCTGCCTCCTTTCATACCACCCTCCCACGCTGCCTCTCAAATGCTCTCCTCCTGATCACACATACACCCCCTCCTTCCTCTCGACTCTGGTGTGCCAAAGTGGCACTAAGGGGGCAAGTCCTAGGAGTTCAAGTGGCAAAGGTATGAAGGCCAAAGCAGCATATACAGCTGGGCCCAAAAAGAGAAATTAAGAGTTCAGCATTTGTATGTGACCGCTCTCCCAGCATCGCTGCTCTCTTTGCCACGCCAGATGATATTGTAGAGGAAAGAAACATTATCTTTTGTTCCCAAGTACCAGTAACTAATGGGAAGCATTAGGGATCCAGCAGGATGGTACTGGGACCACACCATCCTCTGGTTACCTATACTCCTGGGCTAATTTTTTTTTTTACATCCAATTTTGCTTGTCTTTCTCCTTCTCACTGCTGCATTTCAGTCCTTAAGTGCCTTTCCAACTTGGTTGACTACAATGCATGTTCCCCAAAGCCTGTGACGACTTGTTGTTGCTCTTGTATACGAAGTCCTGTTTCTAATCTTTCTGCTGAGCTTTTTACTGTCCCGTCTTTCCACAGCCACTCAGAGAACAGAGGTGATGAGTCAGGAAGTTTAATAGCATCCAGAAACAGAAACAACTAGAAAACCTCAAGAGTTTTACTGCCTTTTTCTTACTGAGAACAAATAAGTTGCAATGAATAAAGAACATCACAGGGGTTAGTTTCAAAAATTATCAGACTGACCTGTCCCACAGCTGCTTTCATAACGGACAGCAAAAGGAATTAGGGAGTGCTAAGAACTGTGGTGGGTTTGATTTAAGTGTTTACTGGAGTTCAAAAGACTGAAGGTCATTACAGGATACATGCAGATCTATTAATCTTTAAATCGAGTTGTTTAATACTCCATTTAGAAAGCTTGGTCACAGTGAGTAGGTGTGAACAGAAAAAGGCAAAATTGTGGTGAAGTCCTACACCCATTACAGTCCAAAAAAGCTAGCTAGTGATTGTCACCACTTTCAGAATTTTGTTCATAGTATCAAAACCCCATGGGCTAGTCATCCTGTGGCAGCAGCACTCTGACTGTTAGCTATATAGGGATAAAATGACTTCACAGTGAAGAACATGCCATTGCAAGAGCATACTGTGCCATGAATATGGCTGTATGATCCCCCGTCTTGCAAATAACACTCTATATTAATTTTTAACCTTCAATTAACAGAAGTGCAAACCTAGGTAGGCCAAGCCTTAATGCAAGATTATTACGCTGTGCACAGGACATTCAGGAGTTTCCTTGATATGTACAACAAACAATGCATATAGCAAGAAGAAATCGGCATTACTTATAACATCCGTGCAACAGAAAACTAGGAAATCATACAAATGGAAGGGATGCTCAAGTACTGCAAGAGTGAAGGATCGGTTCCTTTCAGCATATTTTATTTGATTAGCAGACCAGTGTTAAAATTTTTGGAACTCACTTCCATTTTTCATGCTGGCAACTCTGAATCATCTCTCTCTCATGCTTCAACTTCAAAACAGGAAAAAGTGAATACAGTAACCAGCCACGGAACCTTATAAAAATATTCCTGTGTTGTACAAAGTAGATGAAAAAAAGGCTGACTCATGTAGCATCTTTCACCATGCCTACTTGTGAAACTGTGCAGGGCACCATTCTAGTAGTCTTCGTAGCATCAATGTAAGAGCGTGAAGAGAAGGTAAAGAAAAAAGGACCTGAGACAAAGGGGAAATTTTGCAACACTGCACTTCAATCTCAATCCTACTGACTTGAGTGAAGACTACCATTGACAGCACAAAGTTTCATCAGTAGAGCTTTGACCCCCAGTACAGAATGATCCCCAGCTCTGCTTTGAAGGCTTTTGCTGTTTTGGTGGCATCAACAGACTCAGAAGTGCCCCTCAGTAACTGCTGCTGGAGGAATTCCTAGAGAACAGAGTTGTCCTCTATAGCTGGTGGGTGTGTTCAGAGGATGGAAGGCATAGTCCTGGGCTCTGTGAGTAAATATCCAATGGCTGCTGTGTACCACACCACACAAAACCAATGAGGAGCGAAGTTTAGGCAGGAAGAACGCAGATGACGTTTCAGAGAGATGCTCCTTTTTCAAACAGGCAGTGTTCCTCCTTTTCCTCATGTTTAAAAAAAGAATTGTCTACACGGTTAACCTGTATGTGAACTTTTCCTTTCCCAAGTAGCATTTTCTTTTAAATTAAGCAATATGCTGACTTAGGTCTCTACACATACCCATACTCACTCACTGTTTATTAGAGCCAAACAAAAGCAAAAAAGGCATTCAGATAAAAGGTTACTTGTATTTTGCCTCCATCCTCCACAGTTAAAAACTATGTAAACAGTTAAACTGTATTACAGTTTATTTAAAAAAATAAAGGCCTTGAAAAACTGTAAAGTCAACCTGTGAATAATGTTATTTGGAATACTTCACTGGATATTGGGTGCTTCTTTCTATGTAACCTAAAATAAACATTGTAAAAAAAAATGGACTGATAATATGGATGCAAAGAACACTTTAAGAAAATACAACTGAGAAAAATATACTAATACATCTGAGTTTGAAATTATCATCACTAGGTTAACAATAGAGCCAGATAATTTCCTTGCAGGTGTTTACCCTGAACTCTTTTACATGCAACATGTAAACTCCCTGAAGGCTTTTTAGCTGCACATCACCTTTCAGAGTATCTGCTTGACTCAGCTCATTTTAAGACGTTATGGTACACACAGATTTCGACTGAGCATCAATAATGCATGAAACTGAGCTCCATTTTAAGGAATCAGCACTACACTCAAATCCCAACATATTTAAACTGTCACTTAGCTAAATGGATGTATTTTAATTTTTTTAAAGTAAAACTATGTATCAATTGTAATTCTAACAAGATAGAATGGGATCAGAGTAAGCAGAGTTACATATATTGTAGAGTTGAATATACAAAATCTCTCAGACCTAGTGTATGTGATACTCATTCTTCACTTAACTATTTTTTGCATTAAAACCAAGAAAAAAAGCACCAAACTGTGTTGAATGCTTTCAGTGTTCCCTCACCTCTTTTCAGGTTGTAGTGTGCTAAAGAGAAATACATAAATGCTAAGAATACCCAAGCATTGGTTCTGATAACCTGGTTGTAGGAAGAGACTCTACAGAAAAGGGTAATGTTATATAAATGATTTCATTCCTCAAATGCCATGCAAACAGTGGTAGGGCAGGCCTGCAAATGGAACCTTACTGGCTTTTAGGCTTCTTTGAAGCATAATGCTAATTGTGATGACATTTTTCCACAGTCTCCATCAATTAGGACTAGAAGTCAGAACTAAAATTCCAACAGCCTAGGTTTTGGGCTTTCTGATGAACCGAAACTGACTGTATATTTATGGCACAGATGAACCTTGATGTAACACAGTTATTTTTCTGTAGATAAATCAGATTTATCTGTGATAGATTTGGCTCTGGAAGACTAATTTCACATCAGCTCAGAATACAGTTAGCAACCATGAGTTTCATGTTGCTTCCCATCAACTTCAGGTTCAATCAGAAGACTTCCAGCTACAATGAGAAGACTTCCAGCTGCAAACATAGAAAAGGACTGCCTAAAAAGCAATACCTGCAGGTGTTTACCACAGGCTAAATGTTTCATTTTGTACAACACAGAATAGAACTTGCTCCTGGCAAGATCATAATATTAAGGCACACAATCTGTAACTAGACACTGAAAGAGCTTAGCACCTTCTAAAACTGCTCCTAACCCATAGAGTTTGACATTTAAAAGTGCAGGCTCAAGATGTGACATTTACTGTGCAAACTGTTTTCATCCCGTCCTGTCCCTGCTTTAATTTTATAATAACTAGAAAATAAATTAAGTCTCTAATAATTCAGATGAAGTGCAAGTATAGCAATGTTCTTGTTCAGAGCTCTATTGACTTTTACAGGATGTTATACATATGTAGATGTTCATTACAGTCTCAATGCAGGAAGAGCATCTTGAACTGGTTAAAAAAGAAAAAAACCCCATGTAGAATGCATTTCTTGAAGACCTCTAATTAAAAAAATGCTTTTAAATAGACATCACCATCTTCCCCTTTTTTCCCCATAACTGAACAAAAACTGCATTTTCATCTATGTAAGATTTTTCTTGTTTTTCTTCAAATTTATTAGCTTCTGTAATTATATAGTCCATTTTATTGTTAAATCAGAAACAGGAAGAGAACACTCTAAGTTGGTATAGTCATTTTACAATGAGCATATCAGCTACAATATCTTTATCTAATGTTTTCAGAAAACCAAAACAGAACCAGAACAGTAATTGATTTATTTTTTTGACAAACCTGCTTATAGAGATATCACCTATTCTGTGAGGAAGAAAATACTCAAAAAATAAAAAAGTTAAAATTTAGTTAAAAGCTTTACTTGTTTGAGAGCAATCTCATAAAACTCTTTTTAATATGAGCACTTCACTTCACAAAATGAAAAACTATTTACATCATTTTACTTGCAATTTGGTCACATTATCTACACACATTTGCAGAAGATCTTAGGCAAAATAGGTATGTATCTTCTTCTGACATAGGCTATCAGATTGATTGCACATTTTCCTTTTACATAATGGCTCTCCAATAGTGCACTGAAGTCAGTGATCACTGTCTAATTACATTCTCATTTTCATTTATGGCTCAACAATAAAATCAATATCACCTCAAACCCAAATATCTGAGCAGCTGAATCACATACAGTGTGAAACGTGGATTCCACTTTTTTGGACCTGATTTTCAAAAGAATAGTACATCTGACTAGCACAATTAACAAATTGCGCAAAGAAAGAAACTACCTGTGCATCGAATTAGTTTGAAAATCAAGTTGTCTTGTCATATTCTGTCAACTGATTTCCTGCTAATTACATCTCATTTTAAAAATGTTCATTTCCCAATGGCACTACAATGAACTTTTCAGCACACAATTACTGAATTACAGTATCTTTTACATATATTTGTTATATTTAGGCCAATAATGTAATTTCCATGTTACACAATGTCATTGCCTTCACAAGCAGAGTTGCTACATACATTCACAGTTTCAACAGATTGTAATTAGCTTCTCCAGTTGTGCTTTAAAAATCCCAAATATTTTCCAACAGTAAGTGCAAAGCAAATGTCCTATGCAGCTACAATTGGTCACAGAGTTATAAACTCCAAAATTACGAGAAGAGCCTTCTCTCATTCTCCATTTTCATCACCTGCTTTTTCAGGTATGACCTCCAGACTTCGACGAGGCTTTGAGATTTCTGCATTTTCAGTGCCTCGCTTATTGAGTCCACACGAAAGAGTGGCATAATGGATCTGTTTCAGATTCTCCAGTGCTTCATTTTTAGCATATTTGAGAAGATCAGCTTGTCCCTGTAAGAAACAAAATGGAGTTGGAATACACAAGTTGATACTAGGATTTCCTTCTTTTTGACCCTTCTGTTTGTTTTAGGTTAAAATTATAGTTGCCCTTCTCAAAAAAAAAAACAAAAACCCAACAAAACAATCAACAAACCAACCAACCCCCCCAAAAAAAAACAAAAGAAAGAAAAAAACCTACACAAACCAAACGGAAACCCTTCAAAAATAGAGTATCTGATGTTAGTAAGAATCAAGCTCTGCTTTCTCTGAAGCCCACCAGTAGCATCAACAGCAGGACGGGGGTAATTTCTGCCTAACAGTTTTCAAGAAAGTAATCTATGCCATACTTTTAATCCATGGTGACTATAAATGTTTCTGCATAAAGAAAATAAAGGTTGATCTTAATACTTCAGGGAGCCATTTAAAGCCTTTCTGGTTTTTTCATTCTTAGAGATTTTTTTTTCCTAGCAATCTGATTCACTCTGTGGTAGGATGGTAAAGGACCAATGCTTGTCAATGCATGAAATATGAAAATACAGGTTGTGAGCAACACACAAAAAGGATAGTGATGACAAAGACTTCACAGAGTTGTCTGCAGTTCAGTTGCCTGCAGTCTCCTATCACTATCCCTCTTTAGAATCATAGAATCATTTAGGCTGGAAAAGATCTTTAAGAACATCGATTCCAACCATTAACATAACATTGCCAAGTCCACCGCTACACCACATCCTTAAGCACCACATCACTCTTCCTCCTTATATCAATTAAGTTATAAGTAAAGCTGTAAGAGAAATTGCCCCACACTGAGGTGATTTGGCTCTGTTCTACAGTACTGCACCTCTTCGTATCAATTAAAGCCCTTTGACAGCAACAGCTCTCACTAGCAGTCTATGGATGGCCTTCCCTGCCGCTGGATCTGCCTACCCTGCCCATAGGCAGGGAATGAGCACGGCTGTAGCACGTGGTGAGTTTACTGTGGGGCACAGGAAAGTTCAAAAATGTGCAGAAAGTCTGCATGGGCCAAAATGATTGTGCTGTGTCTGTGCTCCCAAAGGAGAACTCCACTCTTGTAAACTCCACAGCTTACAATAAAGTCAACAACGCTTCAAAAATACCTGAAGGGGAGAAACACCACACACACAAACAAACAAACAAACAAAAATACTGGGGATTGTAGTTCCTTGAGACTGCCAGTACCTCTAATGTCCAATAAGGTATGAACACTGACTACACCTTCTCCTGTAATTGGGATACTCTTGCCTGTCTGTCCTGTGTAAATTCTGGCTCCTGACAGATACTTCTCTTGAAGAGATGCTAATGTCTCTTCTAGAGATATGCTGGCCCTCCTTCTCTGCCAAATAAGTTTGAAATGCATCTTTACATCTTGATTTTAAAAATAAAGGAGGAGAGATAGAATGGCAGTCGAAAACATGTGTGTACTCATGGTGTGATACTTCTGATGCTTCTTTAGCAACTCAGAACATAAATACTATCCTATGAAGTAAGCAGAATTACGCATCTGAGGCACACAAATTGAAAACAAATAGTGCTTCCTTCAAAGAAATAATGCCCCCCCTTCCCTTACCCAAGACTATAATAGCCAAAGTCTTCTTTTCTGATCACTAGAGAGGAAAAAAATCTAGGAGTTCACCAATCCCAGCACATGCTTCAGTAATATTTTCTTCTAAAAAAAGCCAAGGCACTTTTTTAAAAAATCACTTTTTTTCCAAACTGACAAACAACTAAAAGCTAATTTAAAACACTCCAGCACTCTAAATGAGTCATATCTGGAGTGCATCTGTTTCTAGCCCAAGTTCTATTTTACATGGATTAGTAGAATATAGTTCTGGAACTTTAATCGAGTTGTTTATCATAGGCAGAGTTGCTAGCAAACAGTCTATTAATAAGGCTGCCCAAAACTTCTCAATTTAAACCCCCCCTGCTTTCAGTTACTTATATGCTTGCCAAACTTGAACTACTTAAGCTGATACTTTCTTGCCATTGGCAGATTTTATTATTATTTCTGTTTAGTATTATTCTTTAACCTCATCCATATGGTTCATTCAGCTCCGAGAATAAAGACAGGAAAATGCCATCAGAACTTTGTTAACAATCTTCTGTACTTCCTTCCCTACTCTCTCTTGGGGTGGGGACTTGTAATTCAAATGACTTCAAGGACCCATAGTAGTGGATCCAAGTTACGAGCTTTTAATGAACAAAAATCAGATTTTGAATGTGGTTAGTACAATCACTTAGGTTTCCATTTTTGATGATCCTTCATCTCTTGACACAGCACACACAGAGCAATGTGGCAAGACAATACATATTCCATTCCCACAGAATAATGAATGTGCACTAGGAAAAAAGTTGTTTTTTTCCTGGATGGCTTCTCCAAGCCACCAACACTGGGTTGCCAGTGCAGGCAGTCCAAAAGCCAGTCTAGAGGAGGGGAAGGAAGAGCCTGAGACTCTGGAGAGAAGGTGAATGGAGAGAAGGAGGGGGCAAGAGTGATCTCTGGGACTGACCTGGCAAGAAGCCTAGGACTGCAGAAAGGAAAGTTGGACTGCAGTATACAAAGTAGGTACCAGATCTTGCTGAAAGAGGAGACTGTGAAACACATAGTGCAATAGCACTGAATTTGGATCTCACAGGTGAGCAGAGAAAGACTGAAGCAACATTTGGGGTTAGAATACAGAAAGAAAACAGATTGACAAAATCCATCATGTTGAAAGAAGCCTAAAAATTATAGATAAGCTGAAGGACTAATAACTCAAAAAAAGTGAGAGAGGTTGGTAATGAGAATAAAAGCTGGTGACAAAGAAAAACAAACAAAAACACAGAGCAGGAAGAAGACTGCAGAATATAATCAAGTAAGGTGATGAGAAAATGAAAAGTAACGCTTACCAAGAAGGATCTCTAGCGGTGGCGACGAGAGAGCAATATGAACTGGAAAGCAATGGGAAAAACTGACAGAAGAGAGAATTAGGTACCAAGTGGGAACAGAATAGAGGAGGGAGGCAAGAAGAGAAGGAGGAAGTCAAGAGTTAGAAGGAGTGGCTGGATTTTCAGCAGGGAACTGTGAGTGCCCGGACAATGCTGACCAGGGAACAAGAACCTTGTAGACAAAAGAGAATCTGGGATAAAGGGCTGCATTACTGCAGAAGAAGTGATCAGACTAAACACATTCAGCCAAGTGATATCAAGTTTAGACCAGGTGTTTGTGAAACCAAATGTGTTGTCATTATCTGCTGGTATGTCTTGATCTCAAATAAAACAAGAGTCAATCACTGCTACCAAATATGCCACATGCTCAAGCGAGAGAGGTCTGTGCAATTGTTACGAAGTGCCTAGTTCTGTTGATATACCATCATGAAGCCATATGCTGGGGAAAGAAAACAGCATGCATCTTAAAAATTCAAGTTGTACTCACAGTGAGCACTGTAAAAAGTAATACAATACTTCTGAAAGGCAGAAAAGTTAAAAAGTCATCCAAATCTGAAAAATTTGTCTCCATGCACTCGAATGAACTCAAAGACCTTTCCTCTAGTTATGTATCAAATGTCTCTTGTCCAAGGGCTGTCAAGATCCAGTTTCAATTCTTTATATTCTATGCATCCTGATTTTCACAGTAGGTGCTATTGACTCAAAAGGTAAGTTAATAGCAATGTCAGTTGACTACAAACTGGAACACAGCAACCTCTCAGACCTATGGACTACTCAGAGTAGTCGACTGCTCACCTCAGAGTAGTAGACTGCTCACCTCAGAGTAGTAGACTACTCACCTCCTTACCAGTTCCAAGTGACTGTAGCAACTTGCTGTGATAAAATGCATATTGTAAAGTCAATAAAAGAAACTTACCAACAGCTCAAACTTTATCTTAAGGGAGTACCAAAAAACCCACATTCAAAGAAACAAAGCTAGTTCGTGCAGAGAATTCAATGCTGGAATCTGAAGCAGCTGCAGAACCAAACCCATATGTTTCTCACTATGTGGTAGGGTTGTCTTTGTCAGGCTTTCATCTCAGATTAAGTCAAAAGGTAAATTAATTTAGCCCTTAGTGTTGTCTGGCAAACACCCCTCAAAACTTAAATGTACTCCCAGCACTGTGGTTAACAGGCAGTTTGTGGTAATTCCCACCCGGGAGTGGGACCTATCTAGGTCTTGCACATCACAAGTACAGAGCACTCTCCTCACTGCAGCAAATGACAATCACTGCTCCCTTTCCTTCCCCATGGTTAAAATTCACTAACAACTGAGCACTACAACATTTGAATAGCATCTATTTCATGTATTGATGTTTGCAAGCTTCAGAAGGAAGAATCAAGTAGCAAGTTGTTTTTTAGGCAGACATGAAAACGACCTTAAAAAAGATCAAAGAACAAAACTGATATTCAGTTAAAACCTTTTTATAAACAAGAACAATAAAGGATATGGATTACTGTGGAAATCCAATTCAATATCCTTCATACCACTCTGTCCCAATATGCCTGTCAACTAGTCTGGTTTGACTTTGTTTAAAATCATCATTAAAAACATTTTTTTTGTTTTGGAACTTTTGGGTAAGAGGCAATGTTTTTATATCACAGCTCCTTAAAGGTAACTAAAAACAAAACCAAAATCATTCCTATTAGTTCTCATACCTATGAAATGAGGTATGACTTCAGAGTCAATTGGATATAGGATTGACTGGAATGTCTCAGTACAGCTATCTTTATAAGCTGTTATGTATTCACTCATGATTTTTGCTTAACTGGTTCTTCACTGGGTGTGGGAACATGAAAGTAAAACTGTAGAGATGACATCTGAAATAACTGCATGAACACCCTTTCCCCCAAAAAATCCCAAGAAACTCTATCATTAACAACTGGGCTTTGGCTCAGGTTCTGGAATCCAAAGCTCTTATAAGGAACTGTAAGAAGCCCATACCCCTTTCTCCAAGCGTTCCTCTGAGCAGTGGTTGTTTGGTACAATGGGACATTTCTTTGAGCAACCTGGTCTAGTGGAAGGTGTTCCTGCCCAGGGCAGAGGGGTTGGAACTAGATAGATGAACTTTAAGGTCCCTTCCAATCCAAGCCATCCTATGATTCTATGTTTCTATGACATACTACAGTGTTCCATGCCCAGCTGACATGCTCTGAGTGCAGTTTTGGAATGAGGACATAAAGGAATTAAAACTGCCTAACTTTTAAATAAAGCTTTAGTTAGGAGCCAAAATCCCATCAGTCCAGCAACTTCAAGAGACTAGTAGCTTCAGATATTTAAATAGAACTGCGTTGTGGGAAATCTTCCAAGGACCTACAGGACTAGGCAGCAGCTATGAGAGGCTTTATGAGTGCTTCGTGGCTGCCTGAATCCACTTGGAGATTTGGTTAAAAAAATTCAGATGATTTAAAAAAAATGTAAGAAGTTGCAGTCCTGTAAGTGCCTTGAATGTTCCATTTATAAATACGTTTTTAAAAATAGCGTAGGTGCAGAACCAATGTTATTACAGAGATAACAGATGTCATGAACTGCATGCCTTGGGATTTCTTTCAAGAGAACATAATTCATGTTGTCTAATGTGACTTGTCTGAAAACTCATAGCCAAAAAAGAACATCTAACAAATGCCAAAGTTAGGAGTCCCACTTTCATTCTGAGTACTTCCATTGAACTCTCTCTTTGTGTTTAGAACAGTACTTTTTTGCAAAGATTGATTTACAGATGCTGTTATGTTCTTCCTATGGGCATCTCAAATTCTGAGCCTATATAGAGGGTTTTTCCTCAAAGTTTTGCTATGCCACACAAGTCCATAAATTTTTACAATAGGTTATTTGTAGGACTCTGCTGCAACAGCAGTTGGAGTAACTTTCTTTCTTTAACTGCGTACTTTCTGGCAGAAAATGTGATTATCTATGTTTAGAAGATATGAATGCTATCAGTCTCAGTAATAACAATAAATTACTAGCAAATGATCTTGCAAACTGCATATTTGAAAGAGATGAATATTCTAACACTGTACAATCTCTAAACCTCTCAGGCAACAAAGTTCAGTAAAGCAGACTATATTTACTCTAAGTGATGTTTTGAAGTTAAACAAATATCTCTATGCACATATATGGGGTGAATAAGAATGGGCATGTGTGCATATGCATATACACAAATTGGATGGAGATATTTCAGCTGAACTCAAACATACTCTATTAATAATAAACTTGGCCACATGGTTTCAAATGAAGAAAAATTAAATCCTTTAAAACAGTAACTGTAATGCATGTGCGTGCAAACACACAGATATTTAATAGCTATGTCAGATGTTCTAAAGAAAGAGTTCCCCTAGAATTAAGCTGTCAATTTTGTTATTTTATCAAACTTTCCATTGCATCAACTGTAGTCAAAATGTCCCAATTGAAAGAAAATGATCAATAAGTATCTTGAGGGTAAAATGCAGCTTAATTGGTTTGGAAAATACATTAGCCACACCATGTGAGCATTCCATGATTCCTCTGTGAGGGAGTTGAGAATGGCGCTCATGCAGAATTATTTAGTAACACTGTTCAGAGCCACACGGCAACTCATGAACTGTAGGCAAGAATCCATGCAAAATACTTTTCCTAACCACAAGAAGAAAAAAAAGTTAACTCCACCTAAGCACTGCACTGCCTTCAGTGTGTTGTTTGCTCAACTGTCTTGCTTGTTGGACAGCAAAATTTGGAGCCACTGAATAGAAAGGCTTTTATTTTTGTGCTATTTGAGAAGGAATTTAATTTGAAGCAAGCAGGGAATTGAACAGATAAAAGAAATTCTTAAAGTGACTCAGATTGTCAGTCTCAATTTCTACTCTAAAAAATGTGGATATTCACGTTCCATCCCTGTTCTTTCATAGTTTTCAGAGAACTGGAAACATGGAAAGAGTAAAACATAGATCAAAATTATGATTGCAGGTCTTTTCTCCAGAGAGGAAGAATAGTGTCTTGGAAACTGATCAACTTCTACTTAGTTATATGACACAAGAGAAGTTATGCTTGCAGCCCATAGTTAAGAGTTCGGAGTGAAAAACCTCGATGTGTCACTTCAGACACATCAGCCTCTAACTTTTTGTACATCTAAATGTGAGTAACAGCACTTAGCAGATGCCCATCTGAACTGTAATAGCTGTAAATAACTTTTAAGATGTAACAACATACCAGAACTTTCTGTAACGCCTCCTGTTAAGTTTCAGCAAGAGACTGATTAAACATCTCACCGATTTTTTAAAACAAAATATTCATTATGGGACAGATTGTACCTTCCTACAGAAAGAATCTTAATCTCTGAGTAGAAAAAAACCCCAAGTCAACGTTAAAGAGATTTTCTCAATAATCTCTTCAAAAGGAAGGCCTTCTAACTTAATTACATTAATCCTAAGGACATGCACATAAGCCTTTCAGTGCTCTGAAGAGCCAGATCTACCATGTGGCTTCTCCAATTCCTGACTAACACAGAAATCACGACTTCACATTTCAGTCGCTCACCAACTGCAAACCTCCCCTCCACCATCCCCTATGTTCTGAATGGAAAGCAGAGATGAAGCAAAGGTACTGCTGTTTCAGGCAGTATTAAAATAGATTTGCCTATCCAAGCTGGTATCTGACACCTTTGACAGAAACGACAGGATAAGAACTTATTTTTTTGACATGAGCCCAAACCCACTGTACTGACTCCCCTCTATCTCCTCAGAAGCACAGGACTGGTAGGTGACACATCCCGTAGTATTTCTTCAGGAAACTCCATTCTAATAAAGAAAATGTGATAGTCTGGTCCTTTACCTATAAGAAGAACCTGCATTCATATTTTCAGAATGTATTAATGTCCATGCTGTAAGCAAGTTTCTCCCCCTTCTCTCCTTGGCATTGGATTTGTGCACTATAACACAAGGGGGACGGAGCAACATCATGAAAAGCTTAAGGATTGACACCAGCACAGAAAGCTGCATAAATACATTGTATTACTGTGCTTTTCTGAAGTAGTTCACTGTAAGAAGCGGTGAAAGGGAATTGTATTTTTAAGAAGAACTAAAAATAAAAAATAATTTTCTTTATAATTAAAACAGACTTTATAGTTTAATGTAGTGATGAAATATTTGATTGAGTGGGAGAGAAGAACTCATTAGTGGATGTAAACACAAAACTTGAGTAACTGGGCCAGAAGAATAGTGTCAAGGGAATAAATTAAGGGAGGCAGTTTTGCTATCTCTATAAATTTTGTTTTACTCTGCTGAGATGAAAGACCAGCAACAAGGAACCTGAACTGTTCCACATTCCAGTTTCCTGAGGGTCTCGGGTTGAAAGTTTTTTTTTTATACTTTATCATTTACTCTTTTGTCAAAATGTAAACAAATGTGCTCAACAAAATGTAAAGAGAATCTCCAGCTCATATACACTCAACTTACTCCAGACTGGATCAAATCATGAATATGATTTGTTTCTACCATTAATCGCTATTCATCGCTGACTGCAGTAGTAACAGTTTCCCTTTTGTTTTTCAGTAACTGCACTAACCTTAACACTCTTACTCCCTTTCAAATCACAAAACAGGCTTCTTTCCAGCCTGAGTCACTTTGCAGAAATCAATACTCATTGTTTCACTCAGGTATTCAAGATTACCAAGGATCCTGTTGGTGTTAAAAGGTTGCAAGAAGAAAATGTCAAACAAACCAAATGAAATAAGCTTCCACAACAATAGAAGAGAAGAAAAATTCACATTGAGAGTCTGGTGTGTATCAGGTTATAATAACTTAAATGACTATGGTTATAGAAGTGAATAAATCCATCTGAACTGTGACACAGAGTAATGACCAGTAACAATATTAGAATATCAGTATTAGAATATTTTCTGTTTTGAACAGAAAAATACAGTAACTAACCAAAGGAATACACATTACCTTTAAAATTGTAATGTTCCACGTAAAACTTTCAACTGATTTTTGCAGTTTTCTTTCTTTTAAGCCTTCTCTTGCTCCTATATTGTGTAGGTTTTCATGAAATTCCATTGCTGTGGAGAATAAAAGAGGGAAGAATATAGTATCCATTTTAATGCATTTTTGTGGTCACAGCAATAGCAATTTGAAACTATTATGGCAAAAAGACAGTGAAAAAGCTTCAGAAATTTTACTCTGCAAGCACAAATCTATCTGATCTAGTAATGTGTAATGTTATACAACATGCCAATATACACAAATCTCTCTAAGCCCAAATCCACTGAAGCACCTGTTGGGTCATTGCTATACAAAGATGAAGCCCAGTAAGTATTTCCTACACAAAAACAATCCCTAAGCACAACTGAGTTTGTTGTACCATATGTAGAAACCTTTCTGTGAGTTGCTATAGGATGGAAACAGTCATTTCATTAACTACTCTATCACAACAAATTTATTTTGTGCCTTGCTCTTTTAGGCACTAAATTTACATCACAGTTGTCCACCTAACAGCTTATGTGCTGAGGCCAGCCCAGAAAATAACCTCCTCACGTTATACCTGAGGAGAAGAGGAATAACTGTGAAAGAGGAATGACAAGTGAACTGCCAAGGACATTTTACGACATTGTGTAAACTACTGTGTTCAGAAAATTTGTACCCAACAAGCTCCAAATCAAAAATTTTTGGCAAAATTCAGATTAGCTTGATCTAAACATTGAGCAGACCAACCAAAGCTTTAGATTTTACCCAGCACACTGCATAGATAGAAGAAAAATAATTTCTTTTCATGTTGCCGTTACAAGTCATATAAAAATAAACTTTAAACAGTTTCCTTCATACAGGGGAAGTAAAACGTTCTTCCATGGGTATACACAGCAACCCAACATGGACTACATCAACCCTCCTATGAAAGTCATACTTTTAATTGTGCTCTCAGGATATCTCTATTTGTAGTAACATAAAGGGTATTTCGAGGTCAAAAGTTGGCAAGTGGTTCTGACTTACAACTATGAAAGTAAAACCAAGTTACAGTTAAAGCAAAAATTGTAATTTTAACTATGTTGGTTGAGATCTACTTGCCCAGTGAGTGCATGTGCTTCAAAATGTGCTTCAATCCATGAGAAGACTGAGATTTATGGACATTATAATTACCTCTTCTTTATAATCTCTCTAACCCACACTCATATTTCATTAAAAGTAAGAGGTATGACTGAATGTTTTCACTGTACATTCCCTTACCTTACTCTCACATATATATATATATATACACACACGTTTTAAAAATATTCATAGATTCACCTGAAAGGCAAGATTGTTCTTTTTATGTTTTCTTACTATTTTGACTTTTGCTACAAGGAAAATAAGTGGTAAATATTTTCCCCAAATTAAACTACTGTATCATTTTTATTTCAGTCACTTCTCTATAGCTCTGACTCTGCCTTTAAAGTCTCAAATAATGTTCCTATTATATTTCCCCAAAACAGATTTCTAAACATTCTAAACATTTCTAAAGTTCATTAATCCATCACTGTTTCCAAGTATCCATTTCCTTTTCACATCAACAATAAAAAAACCCCTCCCAATATGACCATGGAAAGATTACATACAGATCTGTATTTACAACATTACATTTCTAGAGCCATCATGACAATACAAATCGTCTGATTTGTACCACGAATTCTAAGACAAACTGGTAAACGTCTGGACTTCTGTACCTCATTTCCACCTTTATAATTTTTGCTTTTCAAGTCAATAGACACTAGTGATCAATAATAACCTTGAACTAAAGCCACTCAGAGAGATAATAAGAATAGTGCTGAGTGGCTTCATGATCAATGTGAAATTGGTGCTTTGTAGATCTCAGATTATTTTAATGTATATGAAATCCCTGGTATCATGGACATGGACACAAAGTGACCACATATTCTGTCAGCCAGAAGAGCTCCTTTTGTTCACCAACTACCTTCTGTGGTGATGCTCTCCCTTCTTTACACTCATGCTATGATACATTTCTGTTCTGCCAAAGCCATTCCACTCCAGCTAAGTATACTTGGCAGTTAGCAGGAACATCTCATCACACTTCTTCAGAAAACGAAACAAAGCCAGATCATCCTATCAGGGCACACATATGTAAACCCTCAGCAAACAGGTGTCTCCTGCTTAAATAGTACTGATCACCTCCCTATCCTCAACATCTCTTACAGACTGGCCAATTCCTCATCATCATGCTACGCTAAACCTGTCCTACTCTAAGCCCAAACATACAAGCAGGGACAAGTAGATTTGAATTTTATTTCCATTTTTATTATTAGCTCTTGCCTGATAAACTGAAATTAATTATGTCACCTCTTAGTCTCAGTTCTTCCATCTGTTGGAAGGAATGAATTATATTTGCTACACAATATATGGACAACTAAATTTTAGAGTATGAAAGTAGCATAGCATTTAATTGTTGACTATGTCTGTTTTGGTATTTCCCTTACTTGTTCCTGCTTGTTTTTCTCACATTTTGCCTTGGAATTATCTCATGCATTAACTATGGCAAAGTAAAAACACAAGTTTTAAGTTCCAAAATTAAGCTGCTTTCTAGAACATAACAGAAAATGGAAAAAAAAAGGAAAGACTTTATCATTTACAGCTAAATTAATAAAATAAACTACATGTCCATCATCATCATCATCATCATGGTTAGGCTTCGCGAACGAAGATTTGGGAAGGCTCTATCCACATTTGCTACAGGCACGCTGGGGGCTTATGAGGCCAATACGTGACAGACAAATCCGATTGCAAAAGGCACAGCAGAAAGATTCCTTAGATGGTGTATTCTGCAATACACGGTTCTTTCTGCGTTGCCTTTTTTCCTCGAGGGTGATCCTGCGTGTGTTCTCAAAGGAGACAGCAGCGTTATAGATGGTGTGTCTCCAGGCCTCCCGATTTCAGGCCAGAGTAGTCCATATAAACCATGAAAACATGCCTTTAAGATATGCTGGCAAAGAAAACTGAAAGCTAAATGACTTTTTTTCATAAGTACACAGAATTTTCTGTCTCTTTGCAAGTAAAAATTCAGCTCTTACTCTCATTAAGACATAGTAAACAAATCACTAGCCCTCATTACTTCTAGAATTATTAGTCCATTAGTAATTTCAAACTGCCCGAGAGCTCTCGAACGATAACAGGCATACTACTAACCTGATGTATCACCCAATACATTTCTGTACATACCATCTGCTTAATCAAAAAGCACAAATTACTCATGTTTTTCATTTACAGTGGCAGATGCTAAGAAGGATATCATTCACAACTTTCTAAGTGATCATGAAGATTATGGGTGTTTAGATGGTATTTCCTGTGTTTTAATTTTTGCCCATTGCACAAACATATTTATCTATAATGAAGTTATTATTGATTGTTATCTTGAGCCAGAAAGGTCAATTCTAAACAGCTCTTTTGATCAGTCAACTTTACTAAAATCCTTATTTACAAAGAATCACTGAGGTAGGAAAGCACCTCTGGACATTGTTTAGTCGAACACCCTTGATCAAAAGCAGGACCAGATAGAACAGGTTGCCCAGGACTGTGTTGAGTTGGCTGTTGAATATTATCAAGGATGGAGACTCCACAACCTCTCTGTGTGACCTCTTCCAGAGTTTGACCACATCAGGCCCTCACTGAGCCTTTTCTGCTCCAGGGTGAATAGTTCCAGCCCTCTCAGCCTCTTCTCACAGGAACCATCTCTGTGGCCCTTGCTGGACTCTCACCAATATGTCTGTGTCTCTCATGTACAGGGAAGTGCAGATCTGTATGCAGCACTGCAGATATAACCTCACCAGTGCTGACTAGAGGGGAAGGATCACCTTCTTCAGTCTTCTGGTCATGCACTTCCTTAGGTATATTTGACTTCTTATCCATCAGAGCACCCAGATTCTCTTCTCCAAAGCTACTTTCCAGCCAGCCTCCAGCTTGTACTGGTGCACGCACAGGGTCATTCCTCTCCAGGTGCAGTACTTGGCACTTCTCTTTACTGAATCCTTTTTATGGGCTTCCTATTACCCACATAAGCAAAGTCCCTCAGAGTAGAAGCACAACCAGCTGTTGTATCGACCCTCCACAGACTTTGGTATCTTCTGTCACCTTGCTGAGGATGCATTTGGCCCCATCATCCAGGTAATAAATGAAGATATTTAAACAGCAGTAGCTCTAGTATCAACCCCGGAGGCACATCACTAGTGACTGCCCTTCAGATGGACTTCATGCTCCTGATCACCATGCTTTGAGCCTGGCTGCCCAGCTAGTTTATAGCCTCTACATATAGTTTGTCCAAGAGAATTTTACAAGAGACAGTGTTGAAAGCTTTAGTGAAGTCAAAATAAAAATCATCCACCGCTCTTCCTTTTTCCACCAAGCCAGTCACATAATTATAGAATGCTGTCAAGCTGGTTAGGTCTCATTTGCCCTTTGTAAATCCATGCTGACTCTTCCCAACCATCTTCCTGTTCTGCATGTGCTAGGAAATGGTTTCCAAGAGAATTTATTCCACCACTTTTTCTGGAATTGAAGTGAGTCTTCTTGAATTAGTTTGACTGTGGTAACTCTACTGCTTGTGACAGTGTGATGAGGTTTCAAACATCACCATTTGATTGCCTTCTGAGTTGGGGGCACTAAGTTGGCATAAGCTGCATTCAGAAGTCTGGTCACAGCTACTCCACCATAAGTAAAGGCAAGGTAGAATGGAAGCCATACAATTTGCAAAATAAAGACTGATTCAAGTCTTCCACATTAAAAAGACCAGCTCTTCACTGACACGTTCACTCTGACTATTAAGTCATGTAAATACACTGTAATATAGGTAACAAAACAGCAACAGCATGATTCAACAGTAGGGTTTTAAACTGAAAAAAATACTGCCAACAAATTTTCCTAACCATAACCAGATATTTCACAGCATATCTTTCTCCCTTGCAGTACACTTATAAAGCATACTCATAAGCAATCCTCCAGTATTTCCAAATATTATTTTCCCTTTTAGTGCTGAATCTCTTCCTGGTTCCCAGTGAATGCTGGTTAGTCTGAATTTCAT